GGGGGGGGGGGATTGTTCCTCAATCTACATGTTGTCAGATTGAGGAACAAATTAATTCACCAGGAGAGTTGTCTTGACTAATAGAATGCATTCTGGGGGTTGGGGCTTAGACTTTCCCACTTTCAATTTGAAGGACCACCCTACAGTGAGGCTACACTTCAAGGCTGATGAGGGAGGGGTAAATGTTGCTGGAATTTGAATAACATTCACCAGGAGAGTTTTATTGACTATCATAACGAGTTCCGGTTGGAGCTTAAAATAAATGAATTCAAAAATGTACATGGCACTAAGGACCACCCTACTACACATATTATCATTTCACTAGTAATCGTTTTTCAATAAAATGTTTACGAACGATTTTCATGGAAATCAAATAAAATTATCGTAAAAAATTAACGAAATTCAAAATGTAATGAACACTATATTAAATCCTCATTAAACATTCAAATCGCGAGTGAATCAACGTAAATCATCTCTGCGTTTAGGACAGAGTAATATAAGGGATCTAACGAAATGTATAAAGCTTTAGTTTCCACAAAAAAAAAATGTTTGAAAGAAATCTAGTGCAGAAAAATGATGCTTTTCTGAATCAAAACGAAAACGTTGTATTAACTATTAAAATCCATGTTTTTGTCTTTTTTTTTAATGTCACTTAATTTACAGATAAAAGAGAACCTGAGATTAAACGAATCAAATCGATAATAATAAAACACATTTAATAGGATGTGTAAACGGTCAAAGGCTAAAAGAATACATCGTGACAATCAAATTAAATTAACGAAATCTTATTGAAAAGAAATAAATAAACGAATGAAACTAAAACTACGACTGTGGGGAGATCAAGCTAATATCCCCAGATCTTCCCCCGGTCCTTGAGAGAAGACATGAGCTTCTGTTCCCCGCAGAATAAATACAGATCAGTGATGGAGAGAAAGTACATTTACCCAGAGAAATGTGAATAAGAATAACAGAAACCTAAACCAGTAAAGCGTGTCAAACTAAAAAAGAAAACCAAAGTACGGATAAATTATTGTCTCAAATAAAAGAACGAATACAAAAACAACAAAATAACCAAAACACTTTTCCGTGCGTAAATACACAGTGGATACACTCTTGGAGACGTTCATAAGAACACTCAATCAACCCTCTCCCCCCACCCTGCTGCATGTTTGACAAAATATATAATAAAATAAGGAAAACTAAGATTTAAAACTAAACAAAAATCTAACTTGTCCGCGCCTAAAGACGCAGCGGATCAACTCACGTCAAAAAGGAGCTTACAAAAGCACCAAAACAAAACAAGAAAACGAGTCAAACTAAAAAAGAAAACCGAAGTAAAGATAAGTGGATACTATATCATATATAAACTATTGTTCACGTGTTTTTAGGAATTACAAAAACGAATAAAACAAACAAATAACCCAAACTAACTTTTCCGTGCGTAAAGACGCAGTGGATAAACACACTCAAACCCCCCTCTCTCCCCCCTCCCCTGCTGCCTGTTTGACAGCTGTCTGGCTCCCTGACACTCACCATGCCGTCAGAACAGTTGGACCGGGGGCTGGAGGCGTCTGAGTCCCCGCTGTAGTGCTCCATCCCCGGGTAGAAGCTCTCCTCCGGCCCGCCCCCCCCTGCTCCGCGCAGCAGCGCCTGGAGAGACTCGATGTAGCTGATGGCGTTGCGCAGGATCTCCACTTTGGGCAGCCTCTGGTTCGGATTGGCAGATGTGCATCTCTTCAGGTTCTCAAACGCGTCATTCACCTTCCCCAACCGCCGCCTCTCGCGCATGGTGGCCGCCTTCCTCCTGTCCGCACCCGTGGTTTTCCTCTTGCACGCTTTGCATGCCCAGAGGAGGCAGCGGCCCGCGTGGTGGTGTCCGCTGGGGGCCCGCACGTGCTCATCCTGGTGGTGGTGGTGCAGGGAGGAGGAAGAGGAGGAGGATGACGGTGAGGGAGAGGGGCACGAGGAAGAAGAGTCTGGCTTCAGGAGGCCCGCGTGCACCAGGCGCGGGTCCAGGTCCTCGAAGAAGTGCATGTCAGTGGTGTTGAAGCACGGGTCGTCGTAGAAATCATCTGCGGCAGGGATGGGGAAAGAGATATCCGACAGCTCCATGATCACACAGAAAAAATCTAAAACACCACCGAAGAAGAAGAAGGAGAAGAACACAAAACTGGAAGATTGACAATAAAGTTGACTTTGAAGAAGAAGAAGAAGAAGAAGAAGAAAAGAAAAGAAGAAGAAGAAGAAGAAGGAAAATCCAGAAAGTGTCTGAGTCTTTTTGTTTTTGGAGGGGAATGTAGAGTCCTTCACACTCTCTTCTGTCCTCTCAGCTGTTGACCTGGATACTTTTATACCTGGGACAACCCGAGGGGGGCGGGGTCAGAGCAGTGATGTGAGCTGGGGTCTGACCAATCAGCGAGAAGAGGGCGGGGTTTTTACAGCTTCACGGTAATTAGTGTACAATTACCTCTAACAGAGCAGTAACAGCGGGGTAATAAACTGCAGCTCTCAAAAACACATGTGCGAGAGCAAATACTGACAGCAGATATTAAGGATTTAAATCAGGGGGGGAGGGTTACTTTATAGAGGGTCTATTTGAGTTTTCGTTTTATTACAAAGTCTGTTTTTTTAATAATAAATTGCTATACATTTTTTTTAATTAAATACAATGTTTTTCTGGCAGCAAGGAGTGACGGGTTACAAAAGGGAATTACATCAAAAGACTAAGAGAAAATTAAATATGGTTGGGGCCTAATCTGATGTGTAGGCCCCATGACAGAATAATACATTTTAAAAGTTAATACAACATGATTTTAATGGAATCAATGTGTTTTAACTCATTGAATAAATGATGTGTAAAAACAATAAACAAATCAGAAAAGCCAATTCGAAGTTTAAAACCTTTTATTTGTATTTATTTATATTTTAAAAGGAATAGTATAAAAAAAGGTGGAAAAGAGAAATATATTTCTTAAATCAAAGCAGAAAACGGTAATAAAAAAAGGAGAATTTTATCATCTTGATATATTTAAATCTGTATAGAAATAATAACATACAATAAAATTGGGGCAAAGTAGTATAAAATAAGAATTAATGTTGATATTGTGACAGAAATTACATTTTAAGTTTGAGTTAATTATCATCCAGTTTGTGATGTTTTCACCTTGTGACTTTTATTATTAGGTAAAAACCATATTAACAAACATTTAAAACCAAATAATGTTGAGAATAATCTTTTTTTAAATTATTTTCTTTTATTACTTTTCATATTTGTATGGAAGTTAAACTTATTAAGAGACAAATGATATCCAAAATGAGCAGAACTACTTCATACAAGGCCTCATATTTCATAATAAGCCACACAGTGTAAATACTGTAAGTTTATACCAGTAAAATTAAAAATTATTAGTTAAATGTAATTGAGATATTATTAAACGTCCTGCCTCCCATCTGCATCACCATCCACACACATTCAAATGTAGATTATAGATTTTAATATTTATATATAAAGTATACCTGCAGTACCGACATATTGCAGCAGAGGGCGCTGCAGAGCTCACATCTGCATTGAGCTACCCTCCACTATCCTCTGAGTGACAGATGGTCACGAGCTGATGCTTTAAGTGTTGGAGGAAATATTCAAAGCCTCCACTCACAGGATTATCCCTATCACTCCAAAAGTGATTGAAAGGTCTTTAAATACAGGACTCTGCCCCCCACACACACACACACACACAACAACTCAATACAAGATGATAATGTTTAAAAATGCCGGTAATTAAAGGTGTGTGGATATCAGTGTTGTGCATCTAAATACAATTGAAACACACCTTAACAAAATAAGTTCCTAATAGAAGTCAAAGTCTGAAATTCACCTGAAGTTATGAAGTGAAAAATCCAGAATAATCCTTTAAATTCACAGATTTTGACACATTGTTTACAAATATGGATCATACTGCAGTGCTGATGCAGGGAAATGAATATGACTGCTGACGTAAACAATAACAGTTTCTATAGAAGGCTATGAGACTCTTTTGGATGACCTAACATGCTAAGCACTCAAACAAAAACCTCACAAATGCTAAAGTGCTAAATGCTTCTTTATTACATCGACAACAAATATATGATAGAAACACTGGTGAATTAATAATACAAAATAAAGTGCCATTTGGAATAAACAACAACAACAACGTCAGGGCTTCTTCTCTACGCTAGACCTTAACAACAAGTTTCATGAAATGATTGCATAATGTCACTCTGGGTTTCATTATGGACCCCCCATCCATCAGGAGGAAGGGGAACAATACATCCTATAGATTCAATTTTATCGCAACATTACGACTTTATTCTGGATATTTTCAACTTTTTCCCCAAAATGTTCAAACTATTCTGAAAGTTTGATTTGATTCTCAACATTTTGACATTATTTTGAAAAACGTCACATTTTGGTCAGCGCACAAACTCCTCTTGAATCAATGTATTAACTTCAGATCTTTAGCTTCTACATTAATGATAACTCTACATATTCTAAACAATTCATTGAATATTATACGTTTATAGTTTCCTTCTGTATTCGAGGTTTGAGTGAGGATACATTTGTCATTAACGTCTGATTCAGGCCCAAACTTCAGATGGACTGAAACTAAACTAAAGATGAAGCGGTGGAGCACAGAGGGGCACTTTGAGGATAACAAGGTGTCCCAAACTGCTGCTGACGGAAAACCATTTTACACGACTCATAAACGGGGAGCGATGGTCACCTCTGCAGCTCCAACATCTGGAAACCCCATCAGCTCTCTAACGCTGCTTTAATCTGAGAATGATCCGGAACTCAGAGAGAGAAATGTACACCGCCCGGCTTTAGGCCGGAACTCAATACCTCAATACCTCAATACCTCAATACCTCAATACCTCAATACCTCTCTACCTCAATACCTCAATACCTCAATACCTCTCTACCTCAATACCTCAATACCTCTATACCTCAATACCTCAATACCTCAATACCTCAATACCTCTCTACCTCAATACCTCAATACCTCAATACCTCAATACCTCTCTACCTCAATACCTCTCTACCTCAATACCTCAATACCTCTCTACCTCTCTACCTCAATACCTCAATACCTCAATACCTCAATACCTCAATACCTCAATACCTCTCTACCTCAATACCTCAATACCTCTCTACCTCTATACCTCAATACCTCAATACCTCTCTACCTCTATACCTCAATACCTCAATACCTCTATACCTCAATACCTCAATACCTCAATACCTCAATACCTCAATACCTCAATACCTCTATACCTCAATACCTCAATACCTCTCTACCTCAATACCTCAATACCTCAATACCTCAATACCTCAATACCTCAATACCTCAATACCTCTCTACCTCAATACCTCGATACCTCTCTACCTCAATACCTCGATACCTCTCTACCTCGATACCTCGATACCTAGATACCTCAATACCTCAATACCTCAATACCTCTCTACCTCTCTACCTCGATACCTCGATACCTCGATACCTCGATACCTATACCTCAATACCTCTATACCTCAATACCTCAATACCTCTATACCTCAATACCTCTCTACCTCAATACCTCAATACCTCAATACCTCAATACCTCTCTACCTCAATACCTCAATACCTCTCTACCTCAATACCTCTCTACCTCAATACCTCTATACCTCAATACCTCAATACCTCTCTACCTCGATACCTCTATACCTCAATACCTCAATACCTCAATACCTCTCTACCTCAATACCTCTATACCTCAATACCTCTATACCTCAATACCTCTCTACCTCAATACCTCAATACCTCAATACCTCAATACCTCTCAATACCTTTCTACCTCAATACCTCTCTACCTCAATACCTCGATACCTCGATACCTCAATACCTCAATACCTCGATACCTCGATACCTCGATACCTCGATACCTCGATACCTCTATACCTCGATACCTCAATACCTCAATACCTCGATACCTCAATACCTCAATACCTCAATACCTCAATACCTCTCTACCTCAATACTTCTCTACCTCAATACCTCGATACCTCGATACCTCGATACCTCGATACCTCGATACCTCAATACCTCAATACCTCAATACCTCAATACCTTTCTACCTATACCAATACCTCGAGATCGCTGCTTTAGCCGAGACATTTCTAATTAATTCCGTTAATTTGACGAGTCCAAATAGTCCTAGAATACATTTGATTTGTTGAAAATAATGTTGATATGCTCTAGAAATCTCACTTTTACTCTCGACATTTCGTCTTTATTTGCAACATTTTTCCCTTAACTTCTGATTTCTTCATCACTGACATCATAACAACAAATAAAATCAACGTTGGTTAGAGCAGCAAACGTCCACTTTTGATGCCAGTTCTGCCTCCCTTCCTCCCCCAGCCTCTTGGTATCTTGAACCCAAAATAAAAATCTTATTTGCAAAATTAGATCTCTGCCATTCGGAGGAAAAACAAGAATCCCAGAGCGATTGAGGACACCTGCTCCGACAACATGAGGGATGTCTCAGGAGGGGGAATAAAGGATAAATTCTGCTGAGGAGACGTTGTGGGAGTAAAAGGAGATCTCTGTTACAGACTGCAGCTCCTCTGTCTCACAGATAAAGTTCAGATCGTAAATTTAGAGTCAAAACGGATCCACAAATCAAGTCCCAGATCACATAAACCTCCCCCAGCCGGCTGAAGAGTCTTCGGGGCAACAAACACTGACCTTTGACCCCTGACTGTCACAGCAGTTATCTCAAGTATTAAACAACGCTGACGAACGTATACTCACTTATACCTCGAGTACAGAAGGAAATATTATACTTTTAACTCCACTACTTCGATCTGAATAAGCACTTTCAGATATAAAATACAAACATGTTTATATATTATATTTGATGCATTGATTACAGTAAGTTGTTAAAGTTAGCTTTATCTTAAGCAATTTAAAGACCAATTTGAACATCAGCAGGAGAGGACTCTTTAAAGTAGAGACACTACACACTGATATACACCTGAACATCAGCAGGAGAGGACTCTTTAAAGACACTACATACTGATATACACCTGAACATCAGCAGGAGAGGACTCTTTAAAGTAGAGACACTACATACTGATATACACCTGAACATCAGCAGGAGAGGACTCTTTAAAGTAGAGACACTACATACTGATATACACCTGAACATCAGCACAATAC